ACTGATAACGTGATCATATAAACGGAGCTGGTGCAGAGCGATTACTCCTTTAGAGAAAGACCATCCACACCCAACACATGATGATGAATCTCGTCATTGCTCACTGGATGCTTCCACCAGACATGCGCAATGCTTCGGAGATATCGATGGTCGAATACAGAAACTCGACTTGCATCCTCAACGCGATGGGGCCAGGTCTCGCAATCGAAAAGCAAAACGCTACGAACCAAGGTGATGTACACCCTTCCTTTAGGGGGCTTTTCTATGCAAGCCTGAGTGTACAGTTTTCTTTATTGAGTAGTATAGCTTACGGGGAGCTTTATTTCTCAGCTTATCTCGGAGTTTTAAGTTACCTTTCACCCCTCAGCACAAAAGTATCTTTGAAATAAACCTTTATAAATTTGATTTCGTTTACACGCCTAATTTAATGCAACTTGTCCAAAAGTTTTGTGTGATGGCAAAGGCTGTAATGGTTCGCACTAGCTTTCGAAATAAAAGATAGCTCCGGGAAACCGGACAGTCCTTTGCACGCAAATCATTTTGTCGAGAGAGAAGAGATAACGCTAAGGTAAAAACATAACGATGCATGAAGATCAAATAAGAGTGCTGTAATAATCGTAGTATTAGTAATAGTACGCACGGAATTCGGAACACGAACCATGAAATAGGAATGACAGGACACGAATCTAGGATCAGATATCACGGACTGGATTACGGAAGCACTGGACCACAATGGCACAATATCTCATGTAAACGAGACGCGAGGAAAAGGCCACAAGACTGGCAAACTATTAGTTCGTTAATTGAAAGAAATGAAGGCGATTAAATATTTTGTACAAAAGAAGGTCATTCGTTATCTAGACTTCTACCAATCATATAGCAGTATTAGTTGCATACTTCTGATTCTGTCTGCTTTGTCTCGGATTGGCTGGCACGATCCACCAATAGCGTGTAGTCAGAAGCCGTGACGCGTACGCGCGTCATTGAGGCACCTTTCAAATTCGATTGATCGCAGGTGTCCAGAAACTGTAAAGCGCCGCTCCAGGGTAGGCCTCATCACGTAGGCATGGATCACCAAAAGTACATATTTTCTTACACGAACAACTGGTCAAACACAACCTGGGTTTTTGATAAGTGAAATTCTTGAAGACTTTTTGCTTAGTCATTTTCGCTAGTTTTCAGAGTATCCACCAATACCGTAGTGCGTATGTTACCTCATTGGTAACCGAAACGAAGCATTACGTTCTCCTTGCTGGTGGTTAATATGACAAATAGTGGCATTTAATCAGAACCGTCAACCAGCCCATTAGTGAAATAGTCTTCACTTTCGATCACACAGGTGCAAAACAGTGCGAGTATCCTCTTATACCAACTGTAAGGGTTGAATTTCACTCCGCATGTTCGGACAATCCACGGAAGCGGGTAAGTGGGTAGTTTCTAACGAAGACTTTTCGAAGTACGTTAGTTGCTTCTTTTCCTAATCTGATAATGTGGTTCAAGACGCTAAACTCGCCAGTGATGCTAAGTTGCAAGCGAATGCTGAAGGAATGACTGTTTTTGCGGTGGTGTGGCAATGTGGTCAAGCTTTCGTAAAAGTACGAACACCATTTTGTGAGTATGCAGAACAATATGTCGGATTTTACCATCCTTGCACATTGTAGGAAAACACGAAGTAGCAAACAAGCTCGTTTGCGGTGATTGTTCTACAAACTAATACATCACAATTTATATCAAACTATTTAGAAGGAACGGGGGAGAGAAATCATGACAAGTTGAAGAAAAATTAATCAACATTCCAGTTCCATGATCGGATGTTGCTCACAGTTTGGTCCTCACACATGCGCACTGGTTTGGGTCATTAGGGGTTGGTGGTGGGATGGCTGTGTTGTGTGTGGTGTTGGCTATGGAAGACCGAGTGTTCTTACGAATTGTTTTTGCGAGCACAGAGGGGTGATTGTGTAGGCGGATTCCGACCGCTTCCGCTGTAGCCAAAATGCGAATCCTAATCCTCGTACCACCGCCGCTCAGTTTTATTTCATTCAGTTTGCACCAGTTGAGATACAGCAACATGGTTCCTGAAATGCATCATGCACACCACCATGTCTGTGTTGTTTGGTTAAATTAATATCACAAAGAGATTGTTTCAAATCCCTTTCTTTTTATGTTCAACTTTTCTATTGTAAAGATCGATGAGTTGGGTGTTTATCACTGTTGTGATAGTGCGCGCACCGCAGCACCTATGCGCAATACACACTTCATATTTACCACAAAGTCACATTGAGTTATTGTACTATCTGCGATTGGTTTTCTAATCATTTTGACCAAAAACGTAACAGCCATGATTAGGTCAGCAACATCACTTGCTTCAAGCAGTGAAAGTGCTGATGACAGTCAACCAAACTTATGCATGACCCGAGCTTACCAACACGTTCTCATGAGGCGTTTTTCTAGCAAATTTCCCTATATGTTCAGTTGGAGTAAAACTGTGACAGTCCCTGAACCTGTGACATCGATCGCAACTTGCGTTTAAAGTACCACAAATCAGCCGATACCGCTGATAGCAGTGCCAACCTCCATTTGATAGAGCACACAACTGTGCTGAGATGACATGTAGGACATACGTTCACCCATTATCGAACAAAGTTACACGGTCTGTCAAGTGATTCATCGAAAGAAACCAAAGAGTGTATTCAATAATGAATTTTAACGAAAAGATGAGACCCATACACTTTTCTTAAAGACTTAAGCTCTCTGCTTTCAATCCTACTTTGATTATACCTGCGTTTTCCCAAACGCTGCACACAACGCATTTCATGCTGGAATGTTCCAAGTCACGCAGCAAAACCTCAGTGGCGTCAATTCCGACGCCTCCTGACTTTACCGAAACATTACGAGGACATAATTTCTCTGCTACAGTCCGGAGGTTTTACGTTTTCATTCAAATATTTCCAAATTGTCGGTGAAATTATGGAGTAAAGAAATTCAAAACATCATAAGGTACTGAAAATTGATTAAAACTCCGAGTTTAAGAAAAAAATGATGAGACCCAACCAGGTCGAAACAGCTGTCCAGTGCTTCCGAGCTTTTCAGTTCAC